CCCCAAAACCCCAAAACCCCAAAACCCCAAAACCCCAAATAAAATAATCAGAGTTGATTTTAATTGTAAATTAGCACAAGTGAAATGAAAAACGGTAATTATTCCCATCGGTTAGCAACCCTGCCTACTGTCAACCCTCCCTGGGGTATTGGTCACTACCAGGAAGAACCAGGGATTCTAGAGAGGAGGTTTAGGACAACTCTTAATGATATGGAGTATAGAACGGAAACAGAATTCATTCATGGTTGAAAAGTCACAGAAATTGTCCCTGTTCTTCTCGACACTGGATACTAATATCAAAAAGAGAGGTCCGAAGATCTACCAGCCTTTCATAAACCAGAAGATTAAAATGTCTAATACTAATAGTCGGCTGTGAAGAAGAGAGAGAAGCTTGGAGCTTACCAGCAATGGTAACTGAGGATCACCTTCTCTTCAATATAAAACAAGAAGGATTCTGAAGTTACCCAAGATCGAAAAGAATGAAATCGATTGCTTTCTTACAGGAAATGAGGCCCCTGGTTGGAAGCATAAGCACTCTTTCAGCTTAAATTCCTGCTTGATCAATCCAATCCAGACAAACAGGAGAGAAGAAAACCTCACAACTACGGTTTGTGAGCCCAAGAATGAAGGAATGGCTAGCCCTAAGGTAAGATCTACCCACCAAACTATAGAAGTTCGCACTAGGAGCTACTCTAACTCAGGACCCCCAAGCTAGAGAGCTGAAAGTTCAGAGACAGATGAAGTCAGAAGACCGTAAGAGGAAGTTCAAGAAAAACCTTCTTAACCTCCAGTCCCGGATGAACAACTTGGATAATATCAGAGATAGCCCTGCAGGCTTTAACCATTGTAGGTATCAATATCCTAATTATAAATTTTCCCAACTTTCGAGCTTCAGACATAAACTGTTTTTAGTGTATTCACTCGATACTACCAATGCATCGACAGCTGAGTCAGTCAAGATTCCAGAGTTTACACTTGAAAACAAACGTAAGAGGGACTTCCTACGTGAATCTTTCAACTCAGATAATTCTCATGGGAAGAATTCCCATCGGATTTGCTCTAGTGAGTTGCAAACTTCCGACATAGAAAGCCCAAGAGTTGGCCAAAGGCCAGCTCGTAAGAAATCCAAGTTGATCTTTTATCATCCAACTGCTAATCCAGAATACCGAAATTTTGACAAATCTGGGCATTCCTTCAGCTATAAGAAGAAGAGTTCAAGTTCTTTAGAGAAGAAGCATGACATTTGCAAAGATTCTGGGATCTCTGCAGATTTTAAAAATTCCTTTAAAAAGATGTTTATCCAGTCTTATCCTAAGCGCAAGTTCTGCCGCCCTCAGCAGCCTTTGGCTGCTGGGACGACTCAAGACTTTACAGGGGTGCCTAGGACAAAGCAAGATCAGGAGAAAAAGCTTTTTAATATTTCAGAAATATTCACTTGCCCAAGAAAAACAGCTTATTTCGGTTCTAGCGAATAATTTATAATGAACAAACTTTCTATATTTTGAACAATTTTGGGGTTTTGGGGTTTTGGGGTTTTGGGGTTTTGGGG